AGAAAAAAGTAGTTGATGAATTTTAGCACTCATTCATGACGATCCACATCCCCCCCAAAATGAAATGTGAATAGAAAGAAGTTTCCTAAATGTGATAAAGGTTATTGGCAAAATATGATATCTCGGCATTTGCAAAAACAGCAGAAGCAAGAAAGATACTCTTCATTTTCCCCTTAACCTTCTCCTGTGAGGGAGTTCATAAGACTTTCATTCATGATATACCTTTTCTATACTCAGAAGAAAGGAACATCCATATCTCTGAAGACACAGAGACACAAAAAAGAATCTGAACAAATAACCCTTGCTAAGTTCTCCCTAATTTATTACATTAGATCATACCCACTGTGTCCAATCATACTTCTCTACTACTATTCACCTCTTAATCAAACCTAAACATAAAAAATATGCAAGTTTACCTGTTTCTTTGGGTCTTCATTTCCAAAGGTTCCTCTATTACTATCACACAAAACTTACATTAAATAAATTTTTATGCTGTTCTCTTGTTAATCTGTCTTTTGTTATAGGAGCTGTAGCTATGAACCTTGCAATGGAGAAGGGATATATATGTTTTCTCCCCTATATTATTTACCAATTTTTATATTTAGGCCCTAGAAATAATTAATGATGAAATGTTAAAGTCATTCCACTTAGTTAGGAATAAGGCAAAGGTCATCACTTCTGGCTAATATTATACTAAAAGCCCCTATCAATCCATTCTAAACCAATTAGAATGCAAATACTTTATTTGTCTTGCTCATGACTGAATTCCAAGTAGTTAGAACAGTGCCCAACACGTGGTAGGCATTCAGTAAATGTTTATTAAATGAGTAAGTGAAGTATGAAAATGATTACCGTATTTACACCCACTCCCCATCATTGAGCTATGCCTCCTGTCAGATAAGTGACAGCGTTAGATTCTCAGGGGAGCACAAACCCTTCTGTAAACTGTGAATGGGAGGGATCTAGGTCCCACACCTTACAAGAATCTAATACCTGATAATCTGAGGTAAACGTAATGCAGTTGAATCATCCTGAAACCACACCCCTCAACCTCGTCCATGGAAAAATCATTTTCCATGAGGCTGGTCACTGGTGCCAAAGAGTTTGGGGACTGCTGCCTTAGATGACATCCAAGTTTATGCTAACAAGATGATTAGGACGCTAAGATCAACCATGTGATTAAAGTTTTGAAGCCAGCCTAGCCTCTTGGGTGGGGGCCAGTTGCTGGAAATTGAGTTTGGTCAAGAGGCCAGTGATTTTGTCAGTTATACCTACCTAGTGAAACCCCCCAAACAACCATGTCATATATGCTCTGATTGGATGGAGAGAAAGGACTGAAGTTCTGCACTGGGGCCCTCCTGCATCTTGTCCTATGGGCCTCTTCATTTAGTTGGTCCTGATTTATATCTTTCATGATAATACTGTAATTGTAACATTTTTCTGAGTTTTGCAAGTTGTTCTTGCAGAAGAAGTTGTTCTTGAAAAGGCCATAGAAACCCCGGAATTTTTAGCCAGAGGGACAAAAGTGTTGATGTCCTAGGGACACCAAAACTTGCATCTGGCATCTGAAGTGAGGAGTCTTGTTGGGGAATGTGCCCTTAAAGGTACAGAGTCTAATCACCTAACCCCAGTACAAATGGCCCACATCACAAAGTCTCAAAGTTGCAGATGCTGGTGTGGATGTGGAGAGAAAGGAACACTTTTACACTGCTGGTGGGACTATTACAACCTTTTTGGAGGGAAGTATGGAGAATCCTCAAAGAACTCAAATTAGACCTCCCATTTGATCCTGCAATCCCATTACTAGGCATCTACCCAGAAGAAAAAAATCCTTTCATCATCAGGACATTTGCACTAGACTGCTTATCACAGCTCAATTTATAATTGCCAAAATGTGGAAGCAGCCTAAATGGCACCAGCCCAGGAATGGACTAACAAGCTGTGGTATATGTATACCATGGAATACTATTCAGCCACTAAAAAAGATGGAGACTTTGCATCTTTTATATTAACCTGGATGGAAGTGGAACACATCCCTCTTAGTCAAGCATCACAACAATGAAGAAGCAGGCTTGGTGCCTGTAGCACAGTGGTTAAAGTGCCGGCCACATACACCCAGGCTGGCAGGTTCAAATCTGCCTGGTCCAGCTAAACAACAATGACAACTGCAACAAAAAAATAGCCAGGCATTGTGGTGAGCACCTGTAGTCCCAGTGACTTGGGAGGTAAGGCAAGAGAATTGCTTAAGCCCATGAGTTTGAAGTTGCTATGAGCTGTGACACCATGGCACTCTACGAAGGGCAATATAGTGAGACTCTGTCTGAAAAAAAATATGGAGAAGCAAGAATCCAGAGTACTCTATTCTAATATGAAGGCAGCAGATGAGCTTACACAAGAGGGGAGGTAGGGGAATGAGCAAGGAGGGAGAGGGGAGGGGGGAAAGAGGGAAAGGATTGGGGAGTCACAGTGTATAGAACACCTCTTAGGGGCAGACACAACTATGAGAGGGACTATCTAACAGTGCAATCAGTGTAACCTAATTCTTTGTACCCTCAATGAATCCCAAACAAACAAACAAAAAAAAGGTAAGGAGTCTGAAACTAACTCTAGCAGTGTCAGAAGTGAATTAAATTGCAGTATTTGGCTCCGCGCCTGTGGCTCAAGTGGCTAAGGCGCCAGCCACATACACCTAAGGTGGCGGGTTTGAATCCAGCCTGGGCCCGCCAAAC